CGGTTCAGGTGTTTCTGTTCGCGCCACAGTCTCTTCAGTCACAGTTAACCCTTCAGGTTCCAGGTCTTCGGAAACACTCATGACACCCTGATACTTATGAAATAATGGATTTTTTTTTAAAAAAAAAAACCTATGATATACATATAAGGTAAAATATACATAGTGGCCAAAATCCTGTTGTATAAGTTGCACCTGCAGAAACATGATGATGCCACTGGCAAGGGGCCTTTCTTGTAATTAAAGACTTCCTCTTTCCATCCCATGGTTCCAACAATTTCCACACAATGAAACACATTAGTCATACACCAAATAGAATGAGGAAGTCTTTACTGAAAATCTCTTCTGAGGTCCTGAGAGTGGGCGGAGCTACCATCAGCAGTTTGGGAATCTCCCTCTCTTTGGGGGGGGGGTGACTCTCATAACGAGGTCCACAGCTTGGGGATCCATCTGGACCAGGCGCTTACCATGGAATCCCAGGTGGTATCTGTGGTCCGATCTGCCTATTTACATCTGTGGCGGATTGCCCAGCTGTGTCCCTATCTAGATGGCCTGGCTCCATTCCTTCTTGGGGGACCGCCCTCAGAGAGTGCAGCTTTGTAACCTCATCTAGATACTGGCAGACCATGTCTGGAAGAAGGTCACATTGACCCTGATTCAGTAGCCAGAAAACAATTAGATCATCTTGCCTTTATCTGGAGCCAAGGCCTTGCATGAAGACAAAACATTGATAACACACCTGCTCGTTAGCATTGCTCGTTAGCGCACGGATGTAATCCATCACTATGAAGCTTACTAGCTGTTAGTACTGTTTACTCTGTACTATAAAATAAACCTCGCACTTGGGTGAGGAGAGCTTTTGGTTCATGACTCTTGTCTCCGTGTCTTGATTGCTGGATCCTGAACCAGGATCCCTCATCAGCTGGTGACCCCGACGTGATCCTCCAGCTCCCATCAGCCGAGCCGACATTCTTCTGATGTAGGTTCAGCTCCCATTCACCCTGCTTCCCTCGACTGGAATAGTCTTCGTGCACCCAGCCCACGGGCTCCCCGGGTAAGTATGGGTTGCTTATCTACTAAAGAGCAGCATCAGAATGCTGAAGAGTTAATTGTGAGGCAAAATGACGGATGGCAAGTATCAGGCAAAGAATTAATGGAACAGGAGCAACACGCTCGAGAGCTAAGTAGGCTCGTTCAGCAGAATTGCAAGAG